AGCCGAGGTTAGCCGAGATCAGCCGCGATCAGCCGAGAGTAGCTGAGAGTGGCTGAGAGTAGCTAAAGTGTCGGCCTCTCGCGCACAATCTCCCGTCGTCTCGGCAAGTTGCCAGGAGCGGGTTGCGCCTGCCGCGTCTGCGAGAGTCGACGTCGTCTCGGCGATGAGCGCCGCCTCGTCCCTCTCGACCAGGTCGCCCTGCCGCTCCGCGTTTGTGCGGCCGTGGCCGACGACCTCGTCGCCACGTGCGATGTGTGCAGCGAGCAGCTCCGGGCAGTGGCCAGCGATCTCCGAGTTTGCCAGCACCGAGACAGGAAGACGGAGCTCTTCGAACTCGTCGAGCAGCCGCCACGCGCCAACGCGGTTGCCGTACTCGCGCCACGAGTAGTTGAGCACGTCCGGCCTGCCCGACGGCGCGAGCTCGCCACCGTGACCCTCGCCAAACGCAAAGTGCTCGAGGTTCAGCCCGAGGTAGACGGCGAGGCGCTTGCCACCAGGCCACGCGTGGCGCGGACGCGCGTTGATGGCCGAGTAGGGGAAGCGGCCGTGGGTTCGCAGGAGCGAGGGCATTGGTCGCACGACGGGACTGGCGCGCAGGATAAAAGAATTCTCAAACCTCTCGCACAACACTGGGCACGGGACTGTGGGTGAACCCTGCCCAGCCCCCCTCCGTGTCGCGATGCGCTCCCCACTCCCGTTCCCCTGTGTCCCTGATCGTCCTTACAAGATCCTGTTCGTGCAGGTGGGGACCCTGTCCTTCTCCCACCCCTCGTTTGGCGTGCCCGTTTTATTTATTTATTTATTGGGCACGGGACTGGCGCGCACTGGCACTAACACAGGTACACCAGGATAAAAGAATTTTAGAACAAAATAATTTTACCGATTATCGAGGTTCTCGAGGAAAGGATTTGCACAGGCGACACCACGCCACACACGGCCACACAGCGGTTGTGTGGAGATCGACGGACAAACGCTGCATTTGGCAGGGCGTGCCAATTCTTGGTGGTGGGGTGGGGCGCTGGGGCGGATGCCGGAGTGGGAGTCGTGTTCCTGTGGTGGGGGCGACGGCTTCTGAGGGAGCCGTCGCCCGCGCCTTGTCTGTCGCGTGAATCGTGCTGTGCGACCGCCTTGTTGTAAAATTCTTGGTGGACTGGTCCTTGTGACCTCGCCAGGTGCTGAGCGAGTCGATTCTGGTGCCTCTACTGCACGCGGACACGCCGAGTGGCACCGTTAAGGCGCTGAGCGACGACGAGATTGCCAGCCGC